GCTCGCTTGCTTGTCTTTCCTTATTAGCTTTGATATCACAGTGCCATCTACTTGATCAACAGAGTCAGGTTATTTCCCTTAGAAAATAACTGCGTGGCTGTAACCCCGAAGAAATCAAAGGGCTGCTCAGTTTCTTAGCGAGTCCTCCTCTCCTCTGCACCTACTAGGGCTTTCAAGGCAGCACTGCCCTCAGATGTGTGCCTTTGGGAGCTGGCCTGGCTCCGAGCCTGTTTCACAGACTGACACGAAGCCCTGGCTGGGCCGTGATGGATCCACTGGTGCTGCAAGGACAATTCAAGCCCTGCTGACCCTTCTCTCAGCATCCCCTCTCCTTCCTGGTAGGTGTTTCGTTTGAGAGCCAGTTTCCCTCTCTATCGGCAGAAAACACATCAACTTCTGTACGTGTAAGCTGGGGCAGAGGCTTTGTTCAGTATAAGAAAGCATCGCAGCAGTTGGAGGAGATGGATTGCATAGTCTGATAGGTTGAGCCGTCCCTTCTTAAAAATATCTGCGGCCTAGCCTGAACCCCGGCAGGCATATGCTGTATTAATTTCTCCTACAGATATTTAGACAAGAAACACTACAGACAGGGCTAAGAGAAATTATTGCTGGGCGCTTACTTCTAAAGACCTGTTTCTCTACAGGAATCACCAGTCTGGCAAGATCGACAGTAGGAGCGAAGGTGACACTGCCACACTAAATAACTTTTCACCCTCAAGACCGGCTTTTTTCTCTTTTTGTACTATTGAAAGGTGTTTGAAGGTTTTTTTTATATATATACATTTCAAAGTAATTTTGATTCATTCATTGTGAAAATTCAATGTGTAAACTCCAGTTTTACCTGTCCTTAAGCCTTCCCTTTTTGTTGCTTTTATCCTCGCCTGTCACTCTGTTCTTACCTTACCAGTATAGCTGCAAACAGGTGGGGTGCACCTACTAGCGACTCCAGTGCTCAAAGTCCTTGGTGGGCCTTACGTGTGATTGTTCTTATCAAAGCCTCAACTCTTTGTCCCTCAGAAGTCATCTGTAATATGACTCGTGTATACAGGCAGAGTGACAAGAGCTACGGGCTTGCTTTTGTACGCGCCTAGGCTTCCTTGTGTGGAGGCGGGGAGCTGTAGAGCCATCGATGCTCTTTGCTGTCATGCTCCACCTGTGAGGTGGATAGGACAGCTTTCTGCAGCAGTACCATGGTACCTTTCTGCTTCTCCGCTGGCTGTCGAGTGTAATCACTTTACGTAGGCAAAACTGGTGCTGGCTGATGAAGTCCCTCTGCAGCTGCGTATTGAGACTCTCTTTTCACTCAGTGGCTATGCTGGCCATTGCAGTGAACAAACTTGAAAATGGCAGTCTGGTGTCATTGCCGCAAGACTCCAGCAGTGGTCTGTGCCTCCACTCACAGGGAGCAGGCCTGGTAGTCAGCCCACACTAGCATTTTTCATATATGCTCTGGGATACTAAGTTATAAAGAAATCTTCTGTAACAGCTGTGAGGTATTAAAATGAAACAAATAACTGTTTGCTTACTTAATGGCCATCAGTCTTGATGGTGCTCCCGGTTTGTTTATAGCTTAGGATGGAGATAAAGGTTAGCATTGACCGTAAAACAATAAACTGTTGTATGTATCTAATACAGTTGCTTGGGAACACAATGCCAATATTTTCTGTGTTGACACCAGCACCTGTTCTGTCTCTTAAGCAGGGTGGCTTCCGTGCAAATAACTCCTATGTGAGTGCTCACATCAACTGGGTTCCCATTTGCTTTGTAGAATTAAATGAGCACAACATAGAGCAGTTAAAGAGATTTTCACATTAATTGTAAAAAGAGCGTTTTGTCTGCATAGGTGCCAAATATTCCCTCTTGTCTTATGGTTTAGTGACTGTGATAGCGCTTGACCATCAGTTGTTGCCAGGGCCAGAAGGGAGTAGGAGTAATTTGGAAACAGAGAAGGTTGCTTGTACTATTGCGAGTGGCAGCTGAAGTTGAGTACTTCACATGCAGTTGTGACCATGCTTTCTGTGGCATTTTGTTATAGTCCAGGTAAAGTACAGTAAACAGTAATTAGAGTTTATAGGGGCATCTCACTCAAATATACATCTGATTGTTTTTACATTTTCCTTCTACTGACTGCACTGGCACAGCCCACTGCTGTAAAACAATCATTGGATTTAACGTGATGATGAATAAACCAGGATGCGTCTCAAACCTATCTCCCTCCAGAGGGAATAGGGAAGTCACCAGTCCTGAATGTGTCCTCCTCACTTGGGAGTGTTATGGAAGACATGCTATTTTCAGCCTTTTCCATACTGAGTGGCACAGAGGAGATATTTTGAGGTTGCAGAAAGTACTCATCTACATTTCTGAACTGCGGTGTAAGCTAGCTCTGGGCTCCTGGCTGCCGCAGAAATAGTGCTGCCAGCTGAAGCCAGATAAACCATTGCAAGCACAAAGGCAGCAGTAAACCACAGCCAGCTTTCCCTGCAACTGTTCCCTTGCTGAACGAACATATACCTTTTCACACCCTGCAACCAAGTTGAGGAGGAAGAGGAAGACAACTTTTGCATGTGGGTAGATTGCTGTCGTAATGAACACCTGAGCAAACTTTACTGTATCCTATCTTGGCTGTAACTGTGCATATGTGGCAGAGAGCCTACAAAGCCAAGAATTTCATAAAGTTTATGCTTCCACCTCCACCCAGCCAAAATACTTTCCCCAGTTCTCCTCCAAATCGTCTTAATTTAAATAAGTATAATGAAATCTCATATAAATGGTGGGACCCATGTGTCCTGAAAAGCACACCACCATAAAATCCTGGCCGGGGGAAATACCTTCTCTGGGCAGTGCTGGCTTAAGCAACCCTCAGCCCTACCCCCAGCTGCTCACATGTGCCCCTGCATCATCCCCTGCCTCACGCTGCCACAACTGCTGGCGAGGCTGGGTGATGAACTAAACGGGAGCACAGCTCCAGATGGAAAATAGCCCAGGGGAAGGGAGGGTAGGGAGGGAGTTTTCAGCCAGATCTGTTTCTCCTATCTTGTCTCAAATGCGGCTGTTTACACCCTGCAGCAGTAGTGGGAACAAAATTATCTGGGGAATGGGGGCAGTCAGCGTGGCGGCTGTTTAAACCAGTTTTACCACCCCTCGCTGAATGACAAGCCATTGCTTCGAAAAGAAACCCCTCAGGAAGTCCCCAGTGGAAGGAAATGGGGTGGCTGATTTCCCTTAATTCCCATCGTAATCTGTTTACTTGTTGCTGGGGCTTTGATGCTTATCACAAGGGTGGGTCAGTCCCTGCCCCTGCATATGCCTCTCCCCCTCCCTGCTGTCACCACTCACTTCTCTGCCTTTCAAGGAACTTTTGTGCTCTGACTTGCAAAACAAAGAGTTTCTTAGGGAATATCAAAGAGGAGGCGAGACGTAACACATGAATTGCCTACGTAATACGTGACTTCTCTGTGCGAGCACGAAGCCTTCCCAGTATTCCCCTCGTCGCTTTATTCCTCTGCCAGGCTGTGTTTGGGCTGGACACTTTGTGCAGTGCTGGCACAGTACTGCAATTTGATGTAGTAAATTGCTTAATAGTTTCATAACCTTTTCCTTTCACTGCTGGGTAGAAATGACGCTCTTTGATCAGGAGGCTGCATCACACGACCAGCTTCTTAAAGAAAAACAGAAGTTGGAAATAAGGTTATGCTACTATGTTAAGTCCCTGCTTGTTGTTTTTTACTACACAGGGACATGGTGTGGCAATGCTAAAGCAATACGCTCTGCCAGTGTATGTCAGAGGGACATTAGTTGTGTCCCCTGGCAGATGCTGTGGCAATGAGCGTGCGTGAGACTGACACCGATTAGGCTGCACCACGGGGCTCCCACCAGGCATTTCCTAGGGCAGCGAGGGCCGCAGGGGCTGGGTATCACAGCAGCGGCAGTGATTGCTACTGATGGCTGTTGGGGCTCTTCCCAGGATAAGTCCGGTCCAAGCTTAGATGCCAGCAGCTCCTGCTGTTTTAACATGAGCTTGATTAGACCGGCGCGACGGAGGATCACTAGACAGTGCATGTGTGCCAGAGGCCATTGCTAACAGACAGGATAACAAGATCTCTCTCAGGGACTGATCCAGAGGTATTACGAGCAGGTGTTTTGGTGTCCCCTTCCTCGGCCATCAGAGCACGGTGATTTGTTAGTCCTTGGTAGGTTTTGTGTCGCTGCTCGGCGTGTAGTGTAAAGCAGGACCTCTTGGCGTGTAGTGTAAAGCAGGACACAGCCTGGTTTGAGATAAGCATCAGCTCCACGCTGCTTCCCACCTCCTGGAGGGGTTTTCGTCTCCTTCTTAGCTCTTTTCTTCTTTGTCCTGGAGGATCAGTCTCCCTTCAAACCTGTAGATCAGGAGTTTCCAGCCCAAAGGCTACACCTCTTGGTGGGGTCGGGAGCCGGCCAGATGCAATTCGATATACGAGGAGCTGGGGTCCTGACCAGGCTGCTAGTTGGGCACTAGCCCTGGGGAAGGAGAAGGAGCGAGGGGGTGGCTGGCCTCCTCTTCCCGTGTGCCTTGCCCTCTGTTTCCCTGCTGCCCTGGCAGCTCGGCGAGGGGACGCGTGGGGGG